TGCAGCCCACTTGATCTTTAAAATAAAGGGCCAAAAAGAAGCTCGACTGAGAGTGTGACTTGCAGGAATCAGACCAGGCACCTCAACTGGACCTTGCTTTATTTATATTGAACTGTTTTGATCTGGAGAAATAAAACTGGTTTGATTTGGCCGAAAGGACAGAACCCCTGCTGCTCCTGTTGCTGATACACATACCAGTGAGTTGCCCACTTGATCTTTAAAATAAAGGGCCAAAAAGAAGCTCGACTGAGAGTGTGACTTGCAGGAATCAGACCAGGCACCTCAACTGGACCTTGCTTTATTTATATTGAACTGTTTTGATCTGGAGAAATAAAACTGGTTTGATTTGGCCGAAAGGACAGAACCCCTGCTGCTCCTGTTGCTGATACACATACCAGTGAGTTGGCCTGCTGGCTTACAGCTCCCAATTCCAGTCTCAGCACACATAGCGAGTCCAGTCAGTAGACGGGGCATGCTACTAATTAGAATAATAGAATCATAGAACACTAGAACTGAAGGGACTTCAAGAGGTCATTGAGTCCAGTCCCCTGCCAAGCACCGTCTAGATCATCCCTGATCTATGTCTATCTAACCTGCTCTTGAATATCTCCAGTGATGGAGATACTGTCTCCCTTTGGTCTCAGCAGAAAGGAGTGAGGTGACAAGTCTGTGCTGCCAACCTCCCTAGGCAATTTATTCCAGTGTTTAACTACCATGATGGTTAGGAAGTTTTTCCTAATGTCCAACCTAAACCTCCCTTGCTACAATGTAAGCCCATTGCTTCTTGTCCTATCATCAGAGGTCAAGGAGAACAATTTTTCTCCCACCTCTTTGTGACATCCTTTTAGATACTTGAAAACAGCTATCACGTCCCCTCTCAGTCTTCTCTTTTCTAAACTAAACAAAACCAAATCTTTCAGCCTACCCTCAGATGTCATGATTTCTAGGCCTTTAATCATTTTTGTTGCTCTTCTCTGGACATTCTTCAATTTTTCCACATCTTCCTTGAAATGTGGTGCCCAGAACTGGACATAGTTCTCCAACTGAGGCCTAATCAGCACAGGGAAGAATTAGTTACCAGTCAAGAAAACAGAAATGCTTGCAACATTCACAGCCAAACACTCTGGCTGTGTCTAGACTGCATCCTTTTTCCGTAAAAGGGATGCAAATTAGACACATCGCAATTGCAAATGAAGCGGGGATTTAAATCCCCCACACTTCATTTGCATAAACATGGCTGCCGCTTATTTCCGGCTCGGAGCTTTGCAGGAAAAAAGCGCCAGCCTAGACGGGGATCTTTCAGAAAATAAAGCCTTTTCCGAAAGATCCCTTATTCCTTTTTTAAAGAAGAATAAGGGATCTTTCAGAAAAGGCTTTATTTTCCGAAAGATCTGCATCTAGACTGGTGCTTTTTTCCAGCAAAGCTCTGAGCCGGAAAAAAGTGGCAGCCATGTTTATGCAAATGAAGTGTGGGGGATTTAAATCCCCGCTTCATTTGCAATTGCGATGTGTCTAATTTGCATCCCTTTTACGGAAAAAGGATGCAGTCTAGACACAGCCAGAGTGTTTGGCTGTGAATGTTGCAAGCATTTCTGTTTTCATTACCAATTTAACTGCATGCCCACAAGCATACTACAAATTATCCAACAAACCTGTGGTTTAATGGCTCCCATTATTTCTTAGCCATTATTTTGAATAGTGTCACTAGTGAGTGATAGGCTACGTCTAGAATGCAGGCTTTTTGTGCAAGAAGCTTTTGTCAGAAGAGATCTTCCACAAAAACTTCTTGCAAAAGAGAGCGTCTACACTGCAAAAGCGCATCGAAAAAGCAATACGCTTTTGTGAAAGAGAGTGTCCACACTGCATGGACGCTCTCTCAAAAGGAAACTCTGATTGCTATTTACAGAATGGCCACCAAGGCATCCATGCTTTTTCCTCTTCCGTCTTCCTGTGCAAAAAAACCCCTGTTCCCTATCCACACATGCCTTGTTGTGCAAGAGCTCTCATTCAAAAAGGCACTCTTCCTCATAGAATGAGGATTACCAATTGTGCAGCTCGCCCTCTGATCTTTCGATTTTACTTGCGCAAAAATGCGCTTGAGGTGTGGACGCTCTGCGAGTTTTTACGGAAAAACGGACATTTTTCTGCAAAAACTCTGTAGTGTAGACATAGCCATAGTTCTGGAAGTGAGCTCATGACTCTGGCCAATCAGTATTTTCCACTCCAGGGTGTAACCCTTATGGTAGCTTGTACTGAAGATGGCTGTGACAGAGCCCTTAGTGGGTCCTCCCTCAGGGGGTGGGGGTACCAAGCCACACCCAGTTATCTACACTGGATGGTTGCAACATCAGCCCTACTGCCCTATTATTTGCCAAGTGGGGGAGGAGGGTGTTATTGACTTGGTGAGCCTCTGTAAATCTTCCTGCTCGGGAGATGAAAATGGAAGTCACAGACCCCCATGTCTTCAGGAATACTCTTTCTTTGGTCCCAGCAGAAAGGAGTGAGGTGACACATCGACTGTGCTGCCAACAAGCTAGTCCCAATATAATGCGTCTAGGGAAGTTGCTCTGGCTGGGTCTCCAAAATAAGCTCTGCCTGTCTGTCTTACCCTGGAAGTTTGCTCTCCTCTGGGCCAGAGTGAAGCTCTCCTCTGTCACATCAGAAGTAGCTTCAGCAGTCTGCTGCTTTGGGCAGTCCTGCTCCTTTCCTCCTCCCTGATGGCTGAGGTTTCCTCCCTTTTAAAGGCCTCCTCACTCTCATGTATGATTGACAGATGAGAGGGGTGGGGCTAACTCTACTACCAGGGCCGCTTTGGGCCCTGTCATGAGGTTGCGATTTATTAATTTGGCAGGGAGTTTAGGGAGTCTTGTACCCTTCACCACTGATTTGTCAGGGGAAGTTTTGCCACTGATTTCAATGGCAGCAGGAGGATGCACTTAATAAGCATGCAAAGCAGCCACACACCTTAGAAGTATAATTATATTGTGTGCAATGTGTGTGTATGTGTAATATGCAATGTTATTGTAGCCTTATTGGTCCCAGGGTAGCCTAAAGCTTTGTATAAGCTTAAAAGCTTGTTTTTCTCATCAATGGATGCTGGCTCAAGCAAATAAATTGCCTCACTCACCTTGTCTCTCTAATATCCTGGGATCAAACATAGCTACAAAATTGCACACAGTCATTCAGTTATGTCTAGTAGATTAGCCTGCATCTTCTTAAGGGCTGTTTTTGATACTTTCTTAATTTGTGTCCAAAACGAGAAGTTTCCTCTTACACATTTTAATTAACCATCTCCACAAATCTCTCAGCCCTAGAGGCTATGATATCAAATATTCAACTCAAAAAGGATATCCCTCTCAGATGGTTGTATTCAAGCACAAGTTGTATTCACACTCTTTTATTCAAGTCAAAATACAACAAGCAAACCAAATCCTCCCATTCCAGAGAAAACAAGTTAAGTTTGATCTTTGATCTAAACACGCTCTTCTTCCTCCTAGCAAAACAGGACCAATGTGAAGTTTGTAGGAAAAGAGACCCACATCTACTCAGGCCAGCCATTTTGATCAAAAGAATAGCCATGGTTTTTGTAGTGACCATCACTACATGTGCTTCAACACCTGCTAAAATCTCAGTGTCCCAGATCATCTGTGCAACGAGATCATCCGGTGTTTTCTCAGGGCTGGAGAAAGCTTCAGCTCTTTAGCAGGATGGCTTAACGCACCCTCCCATTAGGTACATGTCCTCAGGAAACCCATATTGTTTCAACAAAGCACACTCTTCTGAAGGATGATTATAGAGCATTTTCCAAGGTTCTGTGGTCCGCTGTGGTGTTAGTTCAGCCTTGGCTTGTGGCTACAGTATTATTGCTATGCCATGCCAACTTCACAGCACAGGGCATCCAAAGTCTGGGCAGCCCTGTTCCAAAGAGAACCCTACCTGTCCATGAATATGATCTGTCAGAAGTGACCAAAGGATGCCCCCTATCACCTCTGCTCCTCCTCATCTTTTTCTATGTGGAACTGGCGCAAATACTGTTCCATTCAGTCTTCTGGGACAGAGGGATGCCGTATGGAGTAAGGTGGTGAAAGAACAGATAACACTGAGGGAAGAGCAGTGGGTCCAAGTGTGTGGGAGCAAAAGGCAAAGTGTGGGGCAGCCAGGCTGGTGTCAGATATCTTTGGGCTGGTGAGTAATATTGAATGGGGGGGCCTGCATCACAGACGCTCCTGAGCATTGGGCTGGATTCCTTTCAGCAG